TCCTGGTAGTCGGCTTTCACGCGAGCGTTGCTGTAGACATATTGTGTAAGTGCATGCAGGTCCTCTTTTGTACAAGGAGGCGCCTTGTTAACAATACCTCCTTTCTCTCTTTTCAGACAGTGCTTATCTAGAGTTTTACTTTGCTTCAGTAGCTGAAGCTCCGTAGGAACCCTTAGATGAGGATACAGATCAAATAGCCAAAGCTTTACATTTCTATAATACGAAACGGCAGTTGCGTGCAAGCTTGCCTTTCTTACCTTCGTTAGTAGCCAGATAGAACCCAAAGCGGTCCATTATTGAGGCGAAGCGCTTGCCAGTCGTGTCAGACGCAATGCTAGCCTGCACATACTCTAGACTTACCATCTCCTCTTCCAGCATACGCTTGAAAGCGCTTACCGCGGTGGTACGCGCTTACTGCGTGTTTGCTGGCACGAACGATGCCAGGCTCATGTCTGCTTCGTTTGCTTTCCAACTGTGCACTCCTAGCCACTAAGACTTTTGTGCTGCCTTAGGCTGGCGACTTGCCTAAGATAGGATAGTACCTAGAGATCGGAAGTGTCAAAATCTGCCAGCAATGCCCTAACAGCTTGACATTTGTATTGACATATTCATATTTTGTCATTGGCTCCGACAAATATTTGTCGGAAGCTGTCGGAACCGGAGCCCTAACCTTAGATTATATGATTGGCGGAAATGTTCAAATAAAGGGTTGTGATTGGTTTAAAAAGTGTTGCTTGCTGTACACTTACATTTTCACCTAACTATCGGTCGGAAAGACGTGTATATTCATCCATATCGCAACCGTTCCGACACCCTACCCCTTCCGACATGTTTCCGACCGTTCGGACCCAGGAGAAAAAAGAGACCAAAACTTATAAACATCATATAGCATATTCGATTAAGTGCGTCTCTAAAATTGCTCTCGGTCAGCTTTCGTGGGGTGCTAAGGAAATGGCCTCTAGAGGCCTCTGGGCCGAGAAATCGGCTATTTTACGTTTGCATGCATATTTGGCCTCAGAGCAATGTGCACCGGAGGCCGCAAATTCATTTGTGAGGGCGGCAACAGGCAAAGGGCCACTAATGAGAGCACATGCAGTCAACGTGGACGTTACCCATTGGCCACCTTTATTAGACAATAAATGGCTGCTCGCCAACTATTGCTTGGTATCAGCCAATAGGCAGTTGGCACCTGTCTTCGTATAGACACGCACCAATGCGTGGCTGTAGAGGCGCCGACGGGGGCCAAAACAGCTCATTCTCCTTTTTTCAGCGGCTACTGAGCAGAGCTCCGACCTCTACCACCACAGTGCCGTAGCTCAAGGAAGAGCCAGGGGTTCGCCCCTGAGGTGCCCGTTCAAGTCGGGCCGGCGCTATCCTTTGGGATTCGGTGGGGGTCTGATGCTTGTAATGCTGAAGCAGGACGACGCTAGGACTGAACGACGGTGTCGCTGGGAAACGCTGTTGCCACTTACAGACGCTTGTGGTTACGTGTGATGCTGCTACGGGTACGCTTCATGTGGTTTGGAGTGTGCTGTGTTGTGGGTGCGTTTTGCGTGGGATGTTCGTGTGTTCTACGTGCTGCGTGACCTGTACGTGCTGCTGGAGCGAGATGGCGCTGGACTACGCTGGCACGGATGGACGGCGTAAGGCGCTGGAGCTGAGGCACGACGCCGTCGCTGTTTGGTGAGCTGCTGCTGTTGCTGCTGCTGGGCGACGCTGGAGCGAGTTCATGATGCTGGCCACGGCCGAATGTACAGCTGCATGTGTCAAAGCATGTGTGTATACAGTGTACTAAAAAACGCAATATGTATTTGCTTGGTTTGAAACTTACACGTGCCCTGCTACTGCGAGGATGTCTTGTGTGTCAATTGGTGCAGGATCGACAATTCTTCCAATCGCAAGCAGCCGCTTGTACGCAGCGATGTGCTTGTCCAAGATATCATCCTTGTGGAGTGGGCGCAGCGCGCGCAGGACGCTTCCAGATCCCTTCGCGTTTGTGCCACGCGCCTTCAAGAAGGCAATCACGGCTTCTTCCGCGCGGCGACCGGCGCCGAGGACTTGGTCTCGGTAGTCCTTCGCCTTCGTGTCCAGCTTGAATCCTTGCTCGAGGAATACTTTCATGAAAGCGACGACGTGGCGCGACTCTGACTTTTTCTGGCGGTCGGCAGAGCTCCAAACGGGTGGCACCTTCGTGTACCACTCGTACCATGTGGTCGACAGGTGCGTCACTTGCTTCTTCCTGCGTTTGGGCTTGGGATCTTGATCTGACGTTGCGTCCGCTTGTTCACGCAGCACCTGTGTAGCTTGTGTGCTTGTACTATTTAGCATGGCAGCTTCGACGATTGTCAAGCGAGCGCTCAACGTGCGATTCATCGCGATAAGCTCTTTAATGACAGCGCTGTGATGACATCCTCTGCATCCTGTTGCCTCATCTTGTTGCTTGTTGTTGCGATCAAAGGTTGTCGACGGTGATCTGTTCAGGGCCGATGACCAGGCGATCATGTCGGCATGAGAAATTCCAGACGCGTCCAAGCTCTCCTCCACGCGAAGCACGATCGGCGCAGAAGGAGACAGCGCCTTCAACTGAGGGTAGTACTTGGCCAGGTAAGCGGTAAGTACAGCAAGAACCTTACCACTAACGTTGAGCCGGGGGTCTTTCAATCCCGAGCATGACCTGTACAGGATGTCTTGTAGGCGCGCGAGTTGCTCCTGCGTGGAGTGATCCAAGACCTCAACGTCCACCACTTTTGGCACATCGTCGACACTCCACCCGCTCAGTACACGCGCGACCTTGCGGTCTTCCTGCAGTGTGTTGAACACATACGCGAAGCCTTGCTCATGTCCCAGGCGCCCCGGTCGAAGATCCACTGTGGAGCAAGCTTCTCGTCCGCGTTCGCATGTTGAGCGCCGCCGCGACAGAAGGAGTGCGAAGAGAGGGCTTCTGACGCTCCAGCGGGGTTTGAGACGCGCTTGAGAAGGCGGTTCACGTACGCTTGGACTCCATCTTCCCCGCGCGTAGTCTCCCTTGGTCGGGACGGCGTCGACAAGCTTGGGCCTGGAACCGCTGAGGGTGCTGCAGCAGCGGCAGCGTCTAGCAGACTTGGAGCGGGTGGTGTGCCGGCAGGCACGGACGAGCATGGGCCTGCGAGTGCAACCCTCAAAGAGGCCGGGTCCGCTTCCAGTAATTCTGCTAGCGGAAGTCCGGTGGCGCTGGCGGTGGCTTCAACGGGAACAAGGTCTGGTAGCTGGCTGAGCAGCGAGCCGCATGGTGCATCCTGCGTTGCCAGCGCCACAGCCAACGCGTGGATTGGGCAAGTCAGGAAGTCCGTCTTGTCTGGCACGAGCGTTAGTCCCTGCCCCTCGGCGGTCTTGACGCGCAACAGACGCACCGTCAGCTGAAACTGACACGTGCTGCTTTTTGATGTACCCCAGGTCCAAAGATCGCCCGAAGCAGTGCCACATCAGGCACGCGAGTGCTGCATCCTGATAGTCGGCTTTCACGCGAGCGTTGCTGTAGACATACTGTGTAAGTGCATGCAGGTCCTCCTTTGTACAAGGAGGCGCCTTGTTAATATTACCTCGTTTCTCTTTTTTAGACAGTGCTTATCTAGAGTTTTACTTTGCTTCAGTAGCTGAAGCTCCGTAGGCACCCTTAGATGAGGATACAGATCAAATAGCCAAAGCTTTACATTTCTATAATACGAAACGGCAGTGCTGCGTGCAAGTTTGCCTTTCTTACCTTCGTTTGTAGCCAGATAGAACCCAAAGCGGTCCATTATTGAGGCGAAGCGCTTGCCAGTCGTGTCAGACGCAATGCTAGCCTGCACAACCTCTAGGCTTACCATCTTCTCTTCCAGCATACGCTTGAAAGCGCTTACCGCGGTGGTACGCGCTTTCTGCGTGTTTGCTGGCACGAACGATGCCAGGCTCATGTCTGCTTCGTCTTCTTTCCAACTGTGCACTCCTAGCCACTAAGACTTTTGTGCTGCCTTAGGCTGGCGACTTGCCTAACATTGGATAGCACCTAGAGACCAGAAGTGTCAAAATCTGCCAGCAATGTCCTAACAACTTGACATTTGTATTGACATATTCATATTTTGTCATTGGTTCCGACAAATATTTGTCGGAAGCTGTCGGAAACGGAGCCCTAACCCTAGATTTTATGATTGGCGGAAATGTTCAAATAAAGGGTTGTGATTAGTCTAAAAAATGTTGCTTGCTGAACAATTACAATATCACCAGACTATCGGTCGGAAAAACGTGTATATTTATCCACATATATTTTTAACACCTATTCCGTCCAGGAAGGTTCTCTTCGGCAGGTCGGTGGGGATTTTTGTATCTTTTTGAAATTCCTCCTGGATCGACTAAAAGGACCCTAATTTACCACAAGGTATCATTGAAAAGCCAAGAGGTTAAGGTTTTTCGCCAACCACGGATCGCTGAGAATTATTCAGCTACTGCTGAGAAATATTGCAATATCTGCTAGGTGGGATGTCAAAACAAGGATGGTGGGATATGGGGCTCTTGAAAAGAATATCCTTCTTGACTTAACTAAATTTGGAAAATCTCTAAAACGGATGCTGTTCCATCTTTTAGGAATCGTACGACCTACCGCTGATCTAACGTTAATTAAAAAAATTGAAGCGTCAGTCGGTTTTTGAGCTCCCAAAACATTCAATTAGCCTACCTTCGTGTCTCCGGATTTTATAACGAAAACTCAATTTCATTTGGACTTGTAAGATAAATCCGAGCCAATTTGGCGGCCGAACTATGACAGATGGCTACACTTATACCTAGGTTTTGTATGGGAGGGGTGAGCGAAGGCCATTTTATACACGAAATTAATGCTAAAAAATTTAAAAAAATAATATCTTTGTACAAAAAAGTGCTTGTCCTTTTATATTTATTTTTTAATTCCGTAATTAAAAATTAAAATCGTAAATTAGCTTTCGCCAAAAACGGGAAATTAAATTCCCCATTTACCGGCGACAGCAGCTATGGCATCGTCGCCGAACATCACGAGGTACCGTTTCTTGGCTGCTAATGTCATCCCTCTCATTCGGGAGCTCAACACGCAACTGAATTTTGAGAAATCGTACGCCGTTATGGAACGCGCGTTTAAGCGGGGTGTCAACTACTTCGACACTGCAGAAGCCTATGCTGGCGGTCAATCCGAGCGTTTTATGGGGAAGATCATTGCAACGGGCATTAAACGAGGCGTGTGGAGCCGAGAGGATCTCGTCATGAGCACCAAAATCTTCTTCGGCACCAAGCACGGGACTGATCAAAGGGCGGGGCCTAACGAGCAGGGACTCAGTCGTAAACACATCGTGGAAGGCACCAAGGCCTCGCTAAAGCGTCTCGGGCTTGAATATGTTGATACCATTTTCTGTCACCGACCGGACCCGTGCACGCCAATTGAGGAGACTGTGCGGGCAATGAATTACGTGATCAAACGCGGCTGGGCTTTCTACTGGAAAACGAGCGAGCGGAGCGCACGCGATATCATCGAAGCGTGCGAGATCGCAGACCGTCTAGGTCTCAATCGACCGGTGATACCTTGTAGCTGGGTGGATGATATTGGCGGTGCCAAACTGACAAAGTATGCACAACAGGCGTTCGATCAACCGCAGTACCACATCCTCGAACGCTCGCATGTCGAGTTGGACTACTATGTGCTCTATGAGGTGCGGTTGACGATTCAAAGTGCTTACTTCAGATCTACTATTGACCGATTTGTGCGTTGGTGTGTGGGTTGTACTGCTGGAAATATAGCTATGGACTCACGACGTGGTCCCCTCTTGCATTCGGCATCTTGACTGGCAAGTACAGTAATGGGATTCCTGAGGTAAGCACTTGGAGTTGACATGCCCATTTCTTGGCCTTCTTGCCTGTGCTTATCCGAAAACTGTGTTGTGTTCTGGTTGCGGGGCTCTCGTCTGTCAATGTCGTCGTATATGAACTACGTGGCTGACGGCTTCGACACAAAGGTCGCAAAAGCAGACAAGTTGGCAACAATCGCAAAGGAAATTGGATGCACCCTCGCCCAACTGGCAATCGCTTGGTGTGTTTCCAATGAGCATGTGTCAACAGTCATCCTGGGTGCATCTAGCGTGGCGCAGCTCGATGAAAACCTCGACTCTCTCAACTTTGTGGACAAACTAACACCAGAGATTCGAGCCAGAATTGACGAGATCGCCGATGTGCGTCTGTCGATCCCTGTTCCGAAAGCGAGACTGCTTGCAATGCGTGAACAGTGGCTGTAGTGCGCGAGTATTATGCAAGACTCGTTGGCTGTCTAAAGGAATTGGCATTTTTTTACTCTTTCGAAGTTAAGCAAACGTTTGCGTCACTTGCAACCAAGCCAAGCTTCGTACTCTGTGTCGCACGGATCACCCACGCCTTGTGCAATCTGACGCCGGCGCATTTCAACTGGGAATTTACTGGGCGAACATGCAATCCCCATGAACCTAGCGTTGTAGCAGATAGCATTCGGAATGCCTGGAAGCTCACATTGGCGGTATAATATTCCACCACAGGATGCCATACCCTCCTCCGTTGGAGGTGGTTGATCATCTGTAGGGCGGAGTATTCCGCCGCAAACGCTTGTGGAGAACTTTTTTATCGCATTAAGCGTAGCGCGTGATGCAATTTTGTCCGTCCTGTTGGCCGGTAAGCAGGTAGCTGCTGGAGATCCCCAGATTGGATGAACACCGCACATCGGATTCTGTAGATCACATTCGCCTAAAAAGCCATTGCAGCACCACATCCCTCGGTCCATTGTGACAAAAGACTTGAGATCATAAATTTGGGAAAAATCTGGAAGCCTGTCGAGAAGCGGCGCAATGGATATCACTAGCCGTTCCAACTTGTGAAGACTATCGAACGTCGGCAATTCCACTAGCGACAAGGCAGCTGCTAGAACAAGCATCTTGAGATTCGTGAGTCCGTGGAAAGGTGGTAGTTGTGCGAGTGCCAAGTTTGAACCCAGATGCAGAGTTGTGAGTGATGACATTTCGTCAAACATGTCATGAGGGAGGCTTACTAGCCCACTCGTGACTTTTCCTTCCACGCGCCTGCAGAATTCAAATCAGGACAAGCAAATAAGAGACGATACCTTAGTAGTGATGTGTGTTGTACACGTACAGATACTCAAGTTGCTTTAGCTCCTTTATCCACACTGGTAGTGTTTGCGTGTGGGTGTACACCAGCGAGCTAAGAGCACAATTCACTGTCAAGGAATCGAGAATATAAAATCTCAACAGTAATGAGACTTACGACGACTTACAGGTATCTCATATCAGTGCAATCTCGCATTTCTTCAGGTAGCACCTCAAGCTTGCGATTTGTGAGCTGAACAATTTGAAGAAACCCCATTGTGGACAATTGAGCGACCTTGGTAGTCACATTCTTAGGATTCACCCACTCGGCATACGTTTTCGGTGCAATATCTTTGTCAATGAGCGCTAAACACGGGCATTGCGTTAGTGATGCTTTCTCCAAATTTATCCAGCGTCGGGCATGCATGGCGCACTCAGGGTGCGGGTGGCACGCTATCGCTGATGTTCTCGTGCATTCTTCTACGTAAACGACTAAGAGGACTGCAAAGACCACGAGAGAAGCTGCTGCCAATCGACTTCGCTTGGGGTACACACTGCTGCTCTGCTTTCGTGAATTCTCCATGAAAGTTGTGATGCGGTGAAACTTGAGCCACAGGGTGACGTTGATACCTACTCTTGTGAAAAAATTGAATACGGAGGAGATGCGTAACGACTTCAAGCTCTTGTGTATCACAACAGTTTGAACAGGATCAGCAATGATACTGGCGCCGTGCTCAGGCCAGCCCAGAGGAAATACTTGTAGGTTGATTGCCAGTTGCGCTCGATCGATCTTGAACGAAGAGAGGCAGTAGCACACTAGGATAACGGGGTACCCGATTGCAATCAACAAGTCAAATCTACAGTAGTGCACGTGGAGTTAGAAGACACGGCATAATTCGAAGTACGTCTTGCAGACAGCCTACGTACATGAGATCGACCAGGTTCTCTACCAAAATCGGTTGTTCGAATGGAAGAAGCATCACAAGCGCGCACCACAGTGCATTTGCAGCGACAATCACGGTGAAGATAGCGACAAGCACACTCGGCAGCCCGTTCTCGAGTATCTGAAGTAGCATTATTGTTTGGATGAAGAGGTCCACGAGTTTAATGCAGAGATTCTGTTGAAAAGGCAAATTAGTTTAGATGCCTGACGTAGTACTACAACAATCATGTACGTACCAGGCGTTTCCGAGCAATAGTATCGTCGGAAGTTAGCGAATTAACCAAGCTTGCTGCGGAGGACAGTGACCTCCTATGTGTTGGCGTCAGGAAAACCTTCTTGATAGCGTCAGTGACACTTGCGGAGAGCGCATGAATCCTTGTGACTGTTTTGTTTTCCGGCAACACCCTGGTGATGTTTTTTTGTTTCCTCACAAGTTTGATCAGAATGAAGGAATAGCCAGCAGCGACACTTGTAAGACCGATGATAGCTAGTCTAAAGATTGGTATCGGCGGGTCTACGAACAGCCAGAATGACCCACTTTCGAAGCTGCTTGTGTCCATGATATGATTGACTGTGCTATTCGGTGTGATGTTGAGGAAGAGGAGCCACACAGTCCAAGCCAAACATAAAGCTACCATGAATACAAGGCTGATCCTTAGTCCAGCGAAGTATGCCTGAGGACCGACCAGGTCTAGCGAAACCGCTCCCTCATTTCCATTGCCTTGGGACTTCGCAGCTTGTGGCGTTGACTTTGCTTTCACGAGCACTGGTCCCGCAGTGGTGGGATGGGGCCGACTCCGTGGGGTAAACTCCTGAACATCGCCGGCCATTTCTCTACTGTCGAGCATCTCTTCTCGGCAATTATTAATAATACCACTTGAGTTGTGACCTGAAACATGCCGACACTAAAATGGAAGTTGAAGTGGCTGAAATTTAACCGGTTAATTTAGCGGTTCCTAGCCTCCATTTCATTGCCCAAGGTGGTTTGGGGGCAGTGTATTACGGTAAGTGGTTCGATACCGACGTGGTGGTAAAGATCCTGAAGCCACAGACGCAAGTAGCATCATCAGAGAAGAGTCCTTCGCCGCCAGCAAGCACCAGTTCAGCGAGTGAAGACGATGCGATGGAGTTGTTTCGACGTGAAGCAGACCACTGGTTTATGCTGAATCATCAGAACGTTGTCCATCTCTACGGAGCGTGCCACGTCGGGACTCCATTCTTCGTGTGCGAGCCAGCCAAGTCGATATCTTTGAACTCTCATGTGGAATCGCTTGCACGAGCAAGGCCGGGCTATAACTATGAAGAGAGAGGAGCTGATCCGTCCGACATCATGCGCTGTCTTCTTCTAGCGGGGATCGGTCTAAGTACCTACACGAGCGTGGAATTGTCCATTGCGACTTGAAAGGGAACAACTTCATGGTAGGCACAGACGGCAAAACTATCAAACTCGGAGACTTTGGCATGAGTGTCCTCAAGTGATCAGGAAAAGGGAGACACACGATCCACGCGAACGTCGGTGCAGTGCCATGGAAGGCTCCTGAATCTTTGAAGGGTGAAGACCCCACCGTCATGTCGGACGTTTACGGCTTTGGAATGTGCATCTTTGAACTTTTCAGTGGAAACATTCCGTGGGCTGGCGTCCCTGAAGCTGCCGTCAAGTTCCACGTGACTAAGCGGAAAGCACTTCCACCTCGCCCAAAGAAGTTACCGACTTTCAGTGGAGTCTGATTCAGCACATGTGCTTCTACGAGCCTTGCGATCGCATTAGCCTCGATGCCGTCGTGGAGATGCTGCACACTTTCCGCTTTGGGAAGTAGAGGACTGGTCTAGGTAGATGCTATCTACATGTACTGCGTAAAACTGGGTCTGACCAAACCAACTATTTTATTAACGGGTTGCAGGGTTGTCGTAGAGGTTGTTCGAGAGAGGGCGCATTCTGTAACGAGCTTGTCAACTGTGTCACAGCGCGTGAAGACCTTCAGGAAAAAACCGGTACAATCAGCTCACTTCAACCTTGTTTCAGCGTTTTTACATGCTTTAAAAACACGATGTAAAACTGACTTTTTGTGCACCACGCACAAATACCAACATAGGGATAGGGTTTTTTTTAAGAGGGGGCCACCCTCGGCATAATCTGCTTCAAGCCCCGGCTTCCTTCTCCTGCGTGGAGGCAATGGAGTTCCTCGCTGAGGAGAACGACTGCGGGCAGACGCTACTGCGTCTTGTGAGTCGTGGAAGCGCCATCATTGCTGAGCTGCTGCGTTTGTCCAACAACATTCCAGGGTGCGGGCGCTAGAGTGGACGAAGATTCGCAAACAGGTTTCTGACTTGATGTTAACATGTTGCAGAGTGTTTATGGGCCCCTCTCACGTAGAAGACCCCGAACAGCTCAAGTATCTCAATATCCTCTTCGACTTTGCGTACCTGAAGAACCCAGAGGACTTTGAAAACATGGTCAACAGCAACACAGTGGGTGAAGTAGCACTGACAGTTGGGTTATTTCAGTCCTGGATCTGATAAACGGGTATTATTGCGCTATAGGAACTACTGGACGTGGACGATGAATTCATGGACAACCACGAGGACATCTTGGATCGATTTTACCAGCTGTTCGATGGCGTCTACAAGGTCTGCAGCCTGTTGGACACTGAAAGTTGTTAAGTGTCGACTCACTTGAGTGATTATGCGTGTGTGGACAGTATATCAGCGACTACTTGGAGTTCCTGGACAATCTGGAGAAAGGTTTCTTCATCCAGCACACGCTGGCCAACATCCTGCTGGATACAGACGGCGCACAGCTCATGTGCGAGGCATTGTACCTCTATGGAGTTATCTTGCTACTACTGGATCGCAAGATCCCCGGCCCGACACGAGAGAAAATGGTCATCGCATTCTACCGAAGCAAGGGCGAGTCTGCGCTGGAAAACATCGACGAGGTCTGCAAACTGTGCCGTGTGACTGGATACCTACCTGGTCAGGCTAAGCCGGCTCAATACCCAGAGCGATACTTCAAGCGCTTTCAGCCCCCAGAAGAAGTGGTGAGTATGGTGATCGGCAAACTGCAGTCTGACGATGTGTACCTGCAAGAACCTTGCTTCCCACATCGCACCCACCGCTCCACGCGCCTTGCAGCACAAGCGTCGATGCTTTTCGTGATTTTGTTCTTTGCTCCGGATATTCTCATCCACGAGAAAGCAAGTATGCGTGAAATTGTGGATCGTCACTTCAACGACAACTTTATCTTGACGACATACATGGGAGCCGTGGCGGATCTGTCGCTGGAGTGGGCTGCTTATCCAGCAGCTCGATTGGCTCTTGCTAACACACTGGAGCCCTCGAATATCGCACACATTACCAAGAAGAAGGCACAGCAGACACAGCGGTCTATTGACGAACTCAACTATTTCCTTACCGAAGGTGTGCTCACGGAAATGTACGTGTTGGAGAACCTGGATCCGCTGTTGAACTGCATCCGTAATGCCAACGTGACGATCCGATGGACGATGATGCACTCGCGCATTCAGCCGGTGATTCCCATGATGGAGAATTCCACTGCACAGCGCGAAATTTTTGATAAAGGCACAGACCCGGACAAGCTAATCACGTTGCTGCTAAAAGTCTCGCAATTGGAGTGGAAATTGAAGCAAATGTTCGAGGCTTTACTGGCCAGTAAAGAAAACCGATGGCAACGTTGCATGAAGGAAACGTCGGAGCGCATGGAAGAACTGAGTGAGTACTTTTCCGGTGAAAAACCACTAACCCGTGTGGAACGCAATGAGGACCTGATGAAGTGGTTTAAGGACTTGGCCGAGAAGGTCAACAGTCTGGACTACGTGGATCACATCAAGGCTGGTCGACGAATCAAGCGACTGATTGAGGCGTTGGGCCACGTTGAACAGTTCGACCAGATCGACACGAACTTGCAGGTGAAGGCGTACCTGGAGGAGTCTCGCGAGTTCCTGACGGAGATGGTGCGCACCGTCCGTATTCGAGATGAGGTCATGGGTATCATTGAGAACGTGTCGGACTTGTCGTATGGCTGGGAGATCATTAACGACTTTATGAAGATCCTACACCAACGCGTGAAGAACGATCCGTCCTCTGTTATTCTGCTGCGTGCTATGTTCCTGAAGTTTGCATCGATCCTAGATGTGCCGCTTACGCGCATTCATCAGTGTGGCTCCGAAGATGTGATTTCGGTGGCGGAATATTACTCGGCCGAGCTTGTAGACTACGTGCGACGTGTGATGGAAGTCATCCCGCAGAGCGTCTTCCGTATTCTTGCCGGGATCATCATACTACAGACTGACCACATGAAGCCAATTCCTGTGAAATTTGAGAACACGTTGTTGAAGAACCATGCGCAGTTGAACGAGCGTTATCGTCTTGCTCGTGCTACCAATGAGGTTTCCAAGTACACGGAAGGTATTCTGGCAATGAAGAGAACGCTACTTGGTATCATCGAAGTGGACCCTCGACAAGTGCTGGAAGATGGACTACGTAAGGAGCTTGTGTACCGCGTCTCGCTTGCTTTCCACGAGGTGCTAATCTTCGAGAAGAATACGTCCGAAGAATGTAACGAGGTTTTTGTAAAGTTGGCGTCCAATCTGGATGCCTACCGCCTCTCGTTCGAATACATTCAAGACTACATTGGTATCTACGGTCTGCGAATGTGGCACGAGGAACTATCGCGTATTATCAACTACAACGTCGAACAAGAATGCAACCGATACCTGAAGAAAAAAGTGTACGACAGAGCATCCCAATACCAAAGCCGTGCTATCCCGATCCCGAGGTTCCAGCCGCCGTCAGGAGACATGAGTGTCAACTTCATGGGCCGCCTCATGCACGCGCTTTTCACCATGACCGACCCACACACAACCATTTACTCCCCGCAGTCTATCGGATGGTTCTCGGAAGATGGCAACGAAGTCTGCGGTATTGGTGCCTTCTCCGTTCTTCACAAGAGCGTGGGTTTGCTCGGTCTCGCAGGTCTAGACCGCATGCTCTCGTTCCGTATTGTGCATACGCTCAACAACTTGGTCAAGTTCTGGGGCTCAGCGGTGACGCCATATTATCCTCTTCTGGATCAACTTTCTGCTGCGCTAGTGCCCGAATGGAAGCTACCCGAACACTCGACGAAGCTGTACGAGGCTGCGTTGAAAAAGGTGGAGAAGGTAATGAGTAAGTTGCTGAAGGCAGTGCTTATTATCGGACAGGCAGCACTCATCCGACGTCAAATCTCAAGTGAATTGTCGTTCTCAAGCCGCCTGGATGCTAACTTGTTGGCTACGACGCTGGATACGCTCAACATTTCGTTGCTGAACGATATCCGTGCGCATTACCGTGACCCGAAGAACAAACCATACCCTGGCAATGACGGCAACCCTGTGCTTGTTGAGCTGAACAAATACTTGGAGAATACTGGTGCAAATGATCCGTTCCAGAAGATCTACGTTACCGTCGCTGAGCCCATGGAGGGTCTTGCAGCCATGTTCATGCTCTTTGTGGTCGCCTACATGCCGAAGCTGCAGTACGACCGCAACTTCGGCGCACTCAGTCGCGTTGGTAAGAACCCGATTGATGGCGAGCCTTTGCTGGTTGGTATCCTCACCATTTTCAAGCAGTTCCACCCGTCGTACACGGAGAAGTTCCTGGCTTACTTGGGCCAGTTCGTGCGCACAAAAGTCAACGACATTTTCGCCGAGAAGGTTGACAAGAAGGGCAAAGCATCTTCGCTGCCGACCGAACTACCCGTGGACGTGGTGAACACGCTGATCTTCATGCTTGAGCTCGCTCGCTGTGCCAAGATCAAGCGCAGCATCCTCGACGGCCACGTCCCTGCGTACGTTTTTGACGCTGTTCAGCTCTAATCGCCATTTGCTTTGGTGAAGAAGGACCATTGCTTGCAAACAGTAAAGCCACTGGAAGCTGAGCAAGAGCAAGGTGAACATAAAAAAAATCTAGTGCACAATACAAGTAGATTTACGTCGTACAACTTCATCAACTCGGATCATTTTTATTTGAAGTTGACCGTTCACTATTTCGCACTTAAATGGGACACAGCTAAGAATTGCAAGGGAGCCAGAACGAAGCAAAAGTACGCGATGAGCGGCTCGCAAACAGGCGGCGGCTTTAAGGAGCCTTCGCGCGCCATTTTCGCGCAGAGCGACCTGCACAATTTCCTGGGCTCTTCGGTACGTCTTGTAGCGCCGCTTGATACGTCGTTCTCCTCTGCTTTTCGGCGTCGCTTTGAGCTAACTTGATCTACATCTTACAGGCCCAGCAGATGATCTTGGTGTTCGTGAAGCACTTGAACGAGAGTGTCAAGGGAAAGCGTATCTCGAGCGAGTGTGAAGTTTCGCCGGTGCGATGTTAGCCGAATCAAGACCAGAAAAGGAGCTGAGCTTCTCATCGTTTTAACTGGGGCTCATGTTGGTTGCGACGTTTACAGAATGTCCAGAAGGCCATAGATCTAATACATGAGATCAATTCGTGGATCGACGAGATCCCTCCCATCCAACAACCCATGCGCTTCGGGAACAAGGCCTTCCGCACATTTTACGACCGAGTTGTTGAGGTGAGATCCGATCAACGGCTGCTCCGGTTGAAAAGCTTTATGCTGACACTATTGCCTTTATGTGTTGTAAACAGAAAACGCCTGCTATGCAGGAGAACATGCTACCGGAGGACCTACGTGGTGCAGTGATTGAGCTCGCAGCGTACCTCGACGACTCCTTTGGCAACCGTGTCCGGATCGACTACGGCACGGGCCATGAAACCAGCTTTATTGTGTGGATCTGTACGCGCATCATACGATGAGTTACCCGAGAAGGGTATCGTGATTTATTTCTAATGTTTGGTGTTGACATCGACAGGCTGTCTGTACAAGTTGGGCTTCTTCAAGCAGTCGGACTTCCCAGCACTGGTGCTGCGGTTGTTCACGACTTATCTGGCGCTGATGCGTCGTCTGCAGAAGCTGTACATGCTAGAACCGGCAGGATCTCATGGTGTATGGGGTCTGGATGACTATCATTGTCTTCCTTTCTACTTTGGCTCAGCACAGCTGATCGGACAGCACGAAATCGTCCCCGAGAGCGTGCATGACGACGGGGTCTTAGAAGCGAAACACGAGGAATACTTGTATCTGGATGCTATCAAGTTTATTAAGGAAGTGAAGTCTGGTTCACCCTTTGCAGAGACGTCGCCTATGCTGAACGATATCAGTGCTTTGCCGTCGTGGGAGAAGACAAACGGAGGCATGCTCAAGCTATACGAGGGCGAAGTGCTGAAGAAGCTGCCGGTCATTCAGCACCTGCGCTTCGGTTCACTGTTCCCGTGCACATGGACCCCAAGCCACGAAGCCGACGATGGATCGACGTACATTCCAGTGAGCACACATCCAGGTACGGGCGTTCGTGCTCCTAACTTTGATCTAGACGGTGTGTCGGCCAAAGCGCCGTGGGTTGCTGTAGAATCGCTTGCGGCTGCGAAGGATACTACGATGTCACCTCTGCACCACCCCAAGAAAACGCTGGATAAGTAATCTTCTGCCCATTTGGTGGATGGAAGTTATACTGTGGCATGGCAAGCGAGCGTGCAAGCAGCTCATGCGCGGACGCTCCGAACCGGGTGGGTACTGCCAATCAAAAAAGTGAAAATGTGGTGTTCCCGAAAAGTTTTTTTTAGTGTGTTCTATGTTTTTGATTTTTGGACTTGAATTTGTTTCGCGTGGCACGATAACATGTGAACGTTTACGAGTCCGTAGGTGCAGTGCAGTGCAGTACAGTGAAGCGCGGTACGCAGTTTCGCATGTCTGCAACGTTCGTGTGTTTCGCTGTGTGCATGCCTCCCAATCACAGGGATCTCTCTGGTCGACGCCAGCGAAATATGCTGTTTAACAGGCTAGCTGACTCAGCGTCGTGAGCTTTTCGCGCCACGTCGCTTGCGTCGTCAAGTCTACAGTGTTTCAGCGGGTCCGCAAGTCGGCCATCGGGGGACCAATTCCAGTCGGGCGGGGCAACGAAACAGACGATAGACTGAACAAGAAACGGCCCGAGGCGCGAGTGGAAGACGCTCGAGCAGTGGAGCCATTTCGCCGCGTGAACGCGACACGGGGACAAACGGATTGCGAAAGCAAGCGAGCAACGAACAGCGTCAACCTCAACAATGCGCCAGAGAATAGTCAGTGAAAAAATGCTTTGAAGAGGTCAGTCAGCCAGCAGATTACGAGGGAACGAGCTCGATCATTTAATTCGAAGCTGATACGAAGACCGAGAAGGAGACGTTACGAACAGCAACCATGCGGTAGGAGGAAGGACAAGAATGAGGACAAGGAAGCAGATTTCATTTGCGACGACCGAAGCTGACAGAAGCGGGCGCGTCATCGACAGTCGCGAGGCGGAACAATGGCCGATGGCACCGCAATTTCGCCATTTTCGCTACTTTACTCGTCACATGTTGCTGCGCGAAGGGACATTCGTGCACTACATGTACATGTATACGTCACAGGTCACTGTTTAACACGACAACCTTTGAATATCCTGGCTCAACTGCGTGTTCCGACAACGGTATGCCTACGGTAGGCAGCCTACCGGCACAACACAGCGGAATAATGCAGCCCAACGTCATAGGTAGTCTAACACATGCGTGGAGCTCTTTCGCAAGACATGCCAATGCTGAAACCGTATTCAACGATACCAATTCCGTTAAGCGCGTGCGACTACATGAACCGCGCATTCCTCTTCCTATACGCTCCAGTGCAGCGGCTGCACGCCCGAGCACCGAGCGCTCGACGTGAAAACAAAGCCCGACGGGAAGGAAAGCTCGGCCCACGTGCCCCCGAGCCACTGTTGCCAACCGTTGCGACCACACCACCCGAATCCTGAAGAGTCAGAAAGGATGACGCTGAGACGTTTGGCCAGAAAAGCTGTTTCCTGTACCATCAAATACCTTGCAAAATCGGATTTTTATTTTTAGCAGGGTTATTAACGACAATGAGCAACGAGCGTTGACTTCCGGCTAAAATCAACGGCTACAGACCAGAAACAACCTTACTCATTACCACTGCACGCTCGATAATAGAACATGTGACGTCGCTGAATGATTGCTGCGATGGCCTCTATAAACTAATTTAACTTGGAGGAACATGTGTCGTCGTATCGTTCTGACGTCGGCCAATTTTTTGGGCGCGTTACCGATCCTGAACTCCATCGTCAGCTCGTAAAGTGTCTATTTTAAAAGTCAAAATCCTTACATGTATTACTATAAAAAAACTTTTGACCTGGTGTTTGTAAGTAACCGAGCTGTTTATTAATACTTTTAGACAGCTAAACACGGTTGGCTAAACTCCCCGTTTCAGCGGCGGGTGGAACCGTTGATAAGCATCAAAAGTCCGTTGCTAGCACACCGAAAGCGACAGGCCTCGCTGACGCGGCGATGGATATTTGAATCCGCGGCCTAAGACTCGCGAGACATTTTTGCAAAGACGCGGTGTCATTAATACAAAAATCAACGCATCGTTCAAGAATTTAGTCTTAAACAGTTCGTTTCAGTCAATCGCTATGCTCACCCCGTTAGCGAAGTGAAGTTTGCAGAACCGTACAGTCGAAGCATGTGCAGGTAATTTTGAGCGGAAAAGAACTCCGAGGTGCTGAAAAAAAGTTAAAATGGCTACTGATGCAGAAAAAAGACAACCCAAGTCTCGAGGAAGTACCATAATCCAGTAGAAAGTACCACTACTGGAATAGTAGAAATCTGTCGCCAAATTATTAAGTTCGCACACCGAGTTCGCGTAGCCGATCCATATTTTATCTAACAGCTGCAGTAGGTATCCAAACTGCAGCCACCCTTCACAACATGGGGTACAGTGTACTATTGAAGGGTGGGGCAGTATTAGAAGAATGAGGCACTGTGAAAACCAGTACCAGTATTCCACTCTGACAACCACTAATACTGTGGGCTCTATTATAGTCGAAGTTTCCTAGATGGGTTGGTTGAATGGGCCGAGCCATGTAGACCCAAAAACCGATCCAATCGGCTTAGCACTTAAACCCACTAAAGCTCACATTAGATACGACATCGGACTAAATGGAGCACCCGTAACTGTGTCATCGATTTTCAAATACTTGATTTCTGTATCGGGAGATTCAACCCAGATAGCCAGCATCGGCAAATTTGACTTAAATTCCAAATAGTAAGTATAGCTAATATTGATTGGGAAGAAATCCAATTTGTGCTTTGCAGATGAAAGGTCGCCCCGTTTGTTGGTATACTAATGCTCGACGCATAAGACCATGTATAAAATGAGGTGGGAAAAGGCCGATTTAGCTGCGCTCGAATTGCGTTTTCAAACATGCAAAAAGATTCGATTCACAGGAAATCGGTTGGGTTTGCTTAGAAAACCATCTCGTGCGCTCAATTTAGTCTGTCGTAGGTTGATTTATGGGCTCCATAGCTAGATCCATTTTGCCCTTTAAGGACCCCGATTTTTTTAAACGACCTCATTTTATTAAACATCGACGGTATAGCTACGATGAAACCACAAAAGAGCAAAAACATAAATTCCTTTATACTACTATAAACTACTTAATTCAAAATTTCTGGACCAAGTTTTAAAACTAACGCATTAGTACGCAAACCTATTACAATAAGCTATCCATTGTTATAAAATAAATTTTCAATTAACCCAAGCTTGATTCCTGTAATAGTGACCCCCCTCCCCACAAAAAAGGTCGCATTTGAATAACTTTTTGTGTTGCCCTCATGTCCTGTTTTTGCAGCACTATTTTCAATTTGTTATCGCAATTTTTTGTCATTAATCAATGTTTGTACGGCTGCTTATAGAGATTTCGATCTCTTATTGCAGCAAATTAGCTAAGGCTCTCCTCCTTTGCCTCCTATTTACTAATGTAAGCTAATTAATATGACTAACAGGATGGAAACTTGTGTGCAAACATTTCCGATTAAAAACCATATTATGATTTATCTTTGGACAACGATGTATTCTAAGCTGATACATGTATAATCCCTTTCGCAAGATGCAGCCCCGCGACGGGCTGAGAGCCGAGAGAAGCGCAATCACACAAAGGTACTTCTGAGGGAGAGGTGGTATAAATACTGCAAGTCTCACAAATACGCTATCTTGCAGCCGAAAATGTTTATTTTAAGAAAATACAATTACAACCACGTACCTGCTGAGGTATTATATCACACCAGCGGATAGGATTCCCTTATTGACCCAAGGCGAGCACCTTTTTAAATACCGTCTCTCTAACTGGTTCCGGCAACCAAATTCAGCTACCGGCTCAACGAAGTAACGAGATTGGGGCGCCTGTACGTTCACAGCTCAAATCCAAGTTTTGAATTTCAAAAATGACTGGGGCTCAAATAAAATTCTATTTTTTCTGGGGAAACTCACAAACCGAAGCATTCTAATTCTAAGTTCGCATGCTTCTTTTGCGTACCTAACGAATCTCTACTGTATTTTGGTGAGGTACAAGCCAGTACTTTTCCTACTGGATTATGATAATCCACGACCTCCTCTTTGGCTCCCTTTCCCAGCTCGCGCTGACTGGTCAGCAGCAACCCAAAGGGGGTTTCGTCCTCTTGACTGGAGGAGACGTCACTCGGTTGCCCCCTACGAGGATACTGCCATTTTGGAATTCACTCCGCCGAGCCCAAGCCCAGCGAGCGCCTCCAGTACCCCCTGCCAACTGCCCCAAGTAAGAACAGTTCTCTCGGTACCATGGCTCCGTACGCTCCCACTGACGGCATCAGCAAGCTCGCCATCGATCAGAGCAAGCACTTCACGGAGGCCCTGAAGGAGGCTCTCAAGAGCTCGGCCGACCAACAGAAGGTCGCGGCGGAGAAGGTGTCGGAGCTAGTCGCCGGTGATGCTAACCTGAACCTGGGCGTCGTGTCCCAGGAGCTGCGCAACGCCTTGACGGGCAACGATGCGGATGCCAAGGTCGTGGCTGCCCACGTCGTGGACGACCTCATGCAGAAGCATGCTGAGCGTGTGGAGGCCTACCTTTTGCCTCTGCTCTCCGTGTTCCTCGACCTGCTGGGGGACAAGAAGCCGACTGTGCGCCCCGTCGCCCAGGAGGCTGCCCTTACCATCATCAGCTCGGCCAACAAGAACTCGACGATCCGTATCCTGCCGATCCTGTTCGACGGTCTTGACCGCTCCAAGAAGTGGCAGACCAAGAAGGGAGCTCTCGACCTCATCGCTGAGCTGTCTAAGGTCGCTCCTTACCAGGTCGGTCGCTGCCTGCCGGACATTATTCCGCAGGTGACCGATTGCATGTGGGACACCCGTAAGGAAGTCAAGGTTGCTGCTCGCGACACCATGACCAAGGTCTGTAACGTCGTGGGCAACATGGATATCGAGCCCTTTATCCCTGCTCTTGTGAGCTGTCTGGCCAACCCCACGGAGGTGCCTGAGTGTACCCACAAGCTGGCCTCGACCACGTTCGTCAAGACTGTGGAGGCCCCTGCTCTTGCTATTATGGAGCCGCTGCTGAAGCGCGCTCTGGCAGAGGGCAAGACGGCCGTCAAGCGTCAGGCCGCTGTCATTATTGACAACATGTGCAAGCTCATGGACGACCCCGCTGAGGCCCAGCTGTTCATCCCCAAGCTTCTGCCCGGTCTGAAGAAGGTCATTGAGACCCAGGCTGACCCTGAGTGTCGTGAGGTTGCCACTCGTGCCCACGAGACTCTGTTCGTGGCTGGTGGCTCCATGGAGGTGTCTGAGGACGAGCTGAAGGTCGACTACGCCAACATCCACAAGGTCGTTGTGGAGTCGATCGCCGCCAACCCGACTGCCGTCAAGGCCAACATCGACAGCTTCGTCGTCGACTACGTGACGGGCATCTGCTACTTCCTTGTGGTGTCCCGCAACTTCAACAAGGCTGTCTTTGAGAAGGAGATCACCACGTACATCAAGGCTTTCATGAAGCCGGAGGAGATCAAGCCTCTTGCCAACGAGATCCGCGACCGCTGTTTCAAGGAGAACAAGTCGATCTTCATCGAGGACGTTGACTGCGACGAGGGCATCCCCGACCTGTGCAACTGCGAGTTCTCGCTTGCTTACGGTGGTATGATTCTGCTGAACAACGCCCGTCTTCGTCTCAAGCGTGGACACCGCTACGGTCTGTGCGGACCCAACGGTTGTGGTAAGTCGACTTTGATGCGCGCCATCTCCAACGGCCAGCTCGAGGGCTTCCCCAGCCGTGACGAGCTTAAGACTGTGTTCGTCGAGCACAACCTGCAGGCTTCGGAGGCTGAGCTGTCCGTGGTGGACTTCATCCTTGTCGATGAGGACCTGAAGAACACTCCCCGTAAGGAGGTCGAGGACACTCTTGCAGGTGTCGGCTTCACCGCCGAGATGCAGGCCCAGGGTGTGGGTACCCTTTCGGGTGGTTGGAAGATGAAACTGGAGCTGGCCCGTGCCATGCTGCAGAAGGCCGACATCCTGCTTCTTGATGAACCAACGAACCACTTGGATGTTAAGAACGTGGCGTGGCTCGAGAACTACCTGACGAGCCTGACGAACGTGACCTCCATTATGGTGTCGCACGACTCTGGCTTCCTTGACACGGTCTGTACCAACATCATTCACTACGAGACCCGTAAGCTGAAGATCTACAAGGGCAACCTCTCCAAGTTCGTGGAGCAGAAGCCTGAGGCCAAGGCCTACTACGAGCTCGAGTCGGAGAACGTCAAGTTTATCTTCCCCGAGCCTGGTTTCCTTGCTGACATCAAGAACAAGGGTAAACCCATTATTCGTCTGACCAACTGTTCGTACCAGTACCCGGGTACCCCCAAGCCGTCGATCAACAACATCTCCGTGACGTGCGCTCTTTCGAGCCGTATCGCCGTTCTGGGACCCAACGGTGCCGGTAAGTCGACGTTGATTAAGATGCTAACGGGTGAAGTGGAGCCGACCAGCGGTCAGGTGTGGAAGCACCCGTCCATGCGTTTCGCCTACGTGGCTCAGCACGCTTTCCACCACATTGAGTCGCACCTTGATGAGACTGCCAACCAGTACATCCAGTGGCGTTTCCAGTCTGGTGAGGACAAGGAACTTCTGGCTAAGGAGACCCGTAAGCTGTCCAAGGAGGAGAAGGAGCACTACAAGAAGCCGGTGAACTGGGAGGGCGAGAAGCGCGTTCTCGAGGAGATTGTGTCTCGTCGTAAATTCAAGAAGAGCTTCGAGTACGAGCTTAAGTGGGAGAAGTGCCCTGTTGACGACAACGCCTGGGTGCCGCGTGAGAAGTGTGAGAAGTGGGGCTGGGACAAGCTGCTGCAGATTGCCGATGACCGCGAAGCTGCTCGTGCTAACCTGCAGGCCCGCCCGCCTACGGCAATTGCTGTGCAGAAACACCTCGACTGCTTCGGCCTGGGCGCCGAGTTCGGTACTCACTCGCGCATGCGTGGTCTGTCTGGTGGTCAGAAGGTGAAGGTCGTGCTGGCTGCTGCTATGTGGCTGAACCCGCACATTCTGGTGCTTGATGAGCCCACGAACTACCTTGACCGCGACTCGCTCGGTGCCCTGGCTTCGGCTATTAAGGAGTTCAACGGTGGTGTCGTCATGATTACTCACCACAACGAGTTCTCGTCGGCGCTGACCCAGGAGACGTGGAACGTTGAAGCTGGTTTCCTCGTGATTGAGGGCCAGCAGGCTGAGGACAAGACCAAGATCGAGCAGAAGAACGAGGAGGAGGTTACGGATGCCTTCGGTAACGTCACCAAGACGAAAATCAAGCGCAAACTGACCCGCAAGGAGAAGAAGGCGAAGGACAAAGCTCGCAAGGAGGCTGAGGCCCGCGGCGAGTACTACAGCGACTCAGACGAGGAATAAGCGGGTTCGATTTCGCGCCCAGATCTTTCGATCGATACCTTATTATGCTATAGAATCTCCTCAATGTGGTATGTAGAGTGACTTGGGAGGCGATTTAGACACCGCGAATTCCAACTGCATAAAAACACTTTCATTTGGCAAAACCATTCCACTGTTTTTTTCCTTGTCAATTACTTTAGTAACATTAGTACTAGTAGCATTTTGTAAAGCAACCCTTGCCAGCGCGAATGCTCATTTGATCGGCTAGAGGTGTTGAAGAAGAGAAGAGATTATTGATAAAAATGATGCTAGAGAGTACTTAGTTGTTGTTGTCTTTTCGGAAAAAGACATCGATTTTAGACATGTCTTGCGCGTCTCTCTTCTTCCCTATCGTTCTCTTTTGTGGCGATGGATCCCTGGTAACACAAGCATCCATGTGCGCGTTCACTTCCATGTTGCTCCGAGCATTCAGCAGCTTGCCACAGATTGGACACGGTTTTGAGTCTTCCTCAGAGCTCTTCATAAACTTCTGGACGGTCGTAAACGCTTGAGAAATAGATCTCTTCTGCTGTTTCTTGTACGTTGCATGCCGCAATGGTGACGACGACAAAGACGACGACTGTTTCCTATTGGTGCACGCGTCAATGTGAGCGTTCACCTCGAAGTTGTTCTGGGTGTTCAACAGCTTCCCACAAATTGGGCAAGGCTTGTTGTCAACCTCAGGAAAGGCGTCGTCGACGAGGAGGACGCGCTGATAATCAAGCTCTGTGCCCCGTTTGGATGGACCGGGTCCCCTGGTTCCTACGAAATTGTGGGTGGAGCAATTTCGTATGTACATGGTGCACACACAAACAAAGCCAACCCGACGGGTTTCTTTAACTACCACTGGGTCGATGACCACGTTAACGTCGCTGCAGACGTCGGCTCCAATTGCAGCGACGCCGAGCGATCGCTGCGCTACGCAATGACAGCAATTTTGGGCGCGACCGCTGATAACGAAGACAAGTTCACCAACTGGCCCAGCAGCCAAAAGGTCCTCGGACTGAGATTTGACTGCGCCGCCAGAATCGTATCAATGCCAGATTCCAAACTTGCTAAAGCGCGTCGGCTTGTGGCCTCGGCGTTTCACTCTGCGCAACTCTCTCGGCCGTCGTATCGCTCCCTCCTTGGCAGCCTCCGTCATGTGGCAACGTGCATCCGGCCAGCCAGACCTTTTCTCCAACTGTGAGGGCTCGG